TTTTAATTTGTCGTGATTTTGGAGGCTTGGCTTGTTTCCTATTTTGTTCAATTGAGTGCAAAGGTTTTCAAAAATTACAATTTCATCATTTTCCTTTTGAAAGTTTCTTAATTAAGACTTAAAAAAATAGAAAAGTTGATTTAAAACTCCTAATTTTAACATATGCAACCATATTTCTCAATTAGGATTGTGAGATGCATGTATACTTTTTTTTACTCTAATTGAACATATGCAACCATATTTCTTAGTTAGGATTGTAAGCCTCAAGCCCTCAGGTGGTCAAGTTAGCCATGGGAGTGTTTAACTAAATTGATAGATGAAATAGGAGAGAAATTCATACGTACCTTTGGTCTGCTATGGCGTATGTAGGTATTGGAAAAATAATGTGATTAAAGAAATTAAGATGTTGAGTGTGATAGTTAACAGTCACATACATTAAACAAAAAGCTTGTCAAATCTGTTTTAGAGCTTATTACAACAAAGTAAAACAAATTATTTAAAGAAACAATAAAAAGCTTTAATTAAATGAAGTTCATCCACAACACTAAACAACAAATTACAACAGAGATGGCATTGCATTCATGTGAGTGTGATTTGTGAATCCCAGTTTTTGTCTTGCATTGGTAGAAATGTTGCTGAGTTGAAGAAATAGGTACGAGATGGTAGATATGCAGCCTGCATCAACATGTATGGAGAAATCACTTAATTCTAAGGATGCAAATAATAGTCAGCAAAAGGAAAGAAAAAAAGAAAACATGTTCCTGAAAACATAAAAATATATACCTGATTGATATTGAATGGATGACTCAAGAAAGCTTGCTCGCTATGAATGAATAATTTAAAAAGGAATTAGCATCCAATTAAGGTAGATGGACATCTCATCAAAAGCAAATCAACAGACATATATACCTGAGCTGAGCTGGGCTGGGGAATATAAATTGTCCAAAAATTGATGCAGGTCGACACAGCCATATTCAATGTTTACCAAAGTGTTATCACTGTAGTTGTGTGAGTAATCAAAAATGGTATTAGCGAGATAGACATCTTAAGAGCAAATCAATCAAGATTAGATTATTAAGCAAATCAACAGAGATTAACACTTGGATTCATTCAGAAACAAGAGATAGAAACATTTATTTATGAAATACTAGTGAGAGAGAAGGAATGGAATGCAAATGATGGAAAAAAGGGAGAGTAATGAGACTTACCTACTATATTCGATGAAAGGTAGGAGGATAGACTCATCGTCAGGATTCTCCCACTCCAACGATTCCCACCATTCTTTTGGATTTTGAATATGGATTTCTTTCATAGCAGCAAGAGATGGTTGCCCGTTTTCCCTTCCAAGACAGAGGGGAATCCTCTTAACCTTAGGGCAGTTGCTTATATAAATGGAATTGAAAGAATCACAAGCCATTACTCCTCCTTCGGGGTAGATTCTCTTCAATTTTGGTAGGGATTGCAACTGCAATATCCTTAATTTTGGAAGAGGGATCAATATTGGAGTAGTTGTTTGATTTCCTACCTCGTCTTCTTCCCATCCTATTATTTCCTCCATCCCTTTGCAATCATAAACCATAATCTGCTCCAAGTTTTGGAGGCCTTGACCTTGCAGCAGCTCACATGGAAACAGCCTCTTCAATTTTAGACAAACCCATACCCTCAGGTGTTTAAGATTAGAAAAGATGGGAGGGGATATTGTCGGTGCAAGCGAAGCTGTTGTTTTTTTTACTTTCACAATGTCCCGCAAGGTGGGCAAAAACACAAGATATAGCTTTTCAAGGTTATTCATAGCTGTCAAGGAAGAAGATGAAGATGACGACGAGGAGACCACACACTTTATCCCTTTGCATTTTCTCAATTTATATGTTTGCAATTGAGTCAAATTTCTCAGAAAAATAGAAATATCAGCGACCATATTGCAGCCTTCAATGCACAAATTCCGAAGGTCATCTGGAAGCACCAACTCATCTTCATATCCTATGTTGCAGAAGGATAAAGCTACCCTTCTTAAAAGATCACCCTTGTTGGATTTCCCAAAATACCCCCACTCCTCTTGTTGGCGGTCAGTCTCCATTCCCGCACAGAGCAAGTAATTATTGGGTCTTCCAAAATGGTTCAACTCGCTAACAAAACTGCTGAGGTCCTTCGGCTGATCAAATATACCTTCAAAACATTCCAGCATGTTCAATCTTGCTACTTCTTCTGCTCTTATATCAGTTGAAAAAATCGGAATTTTACGTAGGTATTGGAGGCGAGAGAGCTTACTGATTTTTCCTTTTGGTAGTACCTTCAGCTTTGGAGCAGATAAATCAAGATAT